GCCCGGATGCATACGCATGGCATGGCATGTGTTATGGGAGTCGGTTAAGGGCTCAGGTTGCATTGCATGTGTGAGTCTCACCTCATAACATAGCATGATGTTTTGGCATTCATTTATGAATTGTATATTTTTAAATAAATGTTTGGTTGATGAATTGCATGTGAACATTTTACATGCATTAGGGTTAAGAACTAGCCTCCTTTGGATATACCCTATTAAGAGTAGCTCACCCTTTATGGGAACAAATTTTCAGGTGTTGCACAAACACCGACAGACGGCCCTCACTTGGGCCCCTTGTTGATGAAGTAAATCAATTATGTAATTCGTTTTGAAATATAAATTTGTACAAAGAGGCCATATAATGAACTCTATGGACAACATTTTGATGTAAATGAATGAATGGGTGATCAACGGGTTAAAAAAGGACCACTAAATTTTGGAGCGTCACATCAACCACTGGCGCTAATGCACTCCGATATTTGTTGACCAATGAATGTGAAGCCACATCATGGCGCCTGTTATTTCCTTATCCTAATAGATGATTACACATGATATAATTACATTTATTTGCTAGCTTACCACCATGAAGAATTGGATTGTTTCAAACGTTTCTTGGCCGAGGCTGAGAATCAAATAGAAAAGAGTGCAAAAACTCTTCAAACAGACCACGAGCACGAGTATTTTTCTGATCAGTTTAAGGGTTTGTGTGAAGAAAAAAGGATACACAGACAACTTACTATTCCCAGTTCTCCGCAACAAAATGATGTAGCGGAGATAAGGAATAGAACATTATTAGACATGGTTAGGTCAATGATGGTGCATGCCAACTTCCCAATATCTTTTTGGGGGGATGCATTACTGACTGCTGTTAACATACTTAACCGAGTGTCTTCTCATCAGCTCCTTCTACCCCATACGAGTTATGGGATGGCAAAAAGCCTACTTTGGGGCATTTGCGTCCATGGGGTTTGGCTGGTTATATGCATAATACATCGCACAAGTATGAAAAGTTAGGCCCTAGAGCTAGTAAACATCTTTTTATAAGGTATTCAAAAAGTGCAAAAGGATATGTGATGTATAATGAACACCCAAATGGAGGAATGACTTAAGTCAAATCGCGCAATATTGATTTCAATGAGACGGATTTTCCGGACATTGACGACACTAATAAGAATCTTGACCTCTATGAATTGGAGGAACATGAAGATCTCTTACCATCTCCTACGGTTAGTGAGGATGATCTTCAACCTAGTGGGAGTATACTAGATAGTGGGAGTATCCACTAGATTCTTAAGTGCGTAGGAGTGAGCATGATTTTGAGATGATTGAAGAAGACCACTGTGTGTATGTTAAACAACCCAAGAAAAGTGTTTTAATCCTCACATTGTATGTTGACATCTTTTTAGCTGGGAATGATATGGAGACCATTGTCGCCACTAAAGAGTGGTTGTCTTCTACTTTTGAAATGAAAGACATGGGCGAGACAAGCTATGTGTTTGGAGTTAAAATAGTGTGAGATCATTCAAGGAGATCTCTTATAATAAGAGACTTACATTAAAAAGATCCTCGGGCATTTTTGCATGCATAACTCAAAACTCATAAACACTCTAATGTAGAAGGGATATGCCTTAAGCCTAGACCAATGCCCTAAGACAAATGAGGAAAAGAATCAAATGTCCAGAATGTCTTATGCTACTACGATAGGGAGTTTGATGTACGCTATGTTGTGTACTCAACCCGACGTCTCCTACACAGTTGGTATGGTCAGTCGCTATCAGAGTAATCTTGGACCCACTCATTGGAAAGCAGTAAGAGGATTCTTCAATACCTTCATGGGACCTTTGACCTTGTCTTATGCTATTATGGTGAAGATCTTAGACTGAGAAGTTACAGCAATGTTGATTGGGCTATTGACAAAGATGAGCATAAATCCACGTTGGGTTACACATTCTCCCAAGGAGGCGGAACTATTTCATGGTGCAGTAAGAAGCTGACTTGCATTACCATCTCCACGATGGAGTTAGAGTATGTGGCTTGTTCAACAACTTTCCAAGAAGCAGTTTGGTTAAGGAAATTCCTCCAACGGTTAAATATTACATTCTATGCAGACGAGGCTACACTTGTATATTGTGATAGCATATCCGCTTTAGCATATCCTCTTTGGCATATGTGAAGAATCTCAAGTATCATAGGAAAACCAAACACATCGATGTTTGTTATCACTACATTAGAAATATGGTTGCGCAAGGGGGGGAGGTGGTCCTAAACCATATCTCCACTAGCAATATGATAGTTGATCCATTGACTAAGCCCATTACTAGAGATGTGTTTTTGTCTCACGTTAGAAGAATGGGACTCGTAGGATTTGATATGTATGGACTCCTTTTGTGTTTGACATTATTATGAGTATGCATTCCTTATATGATTTATTCTTGGAATTATTGTTGCATTATTTAAATACACATTTTTATGTCAAATGTGTCACTAGGCTTAAATCGACTCACTCACACGGGTGATTCACCTTGGCGCTGAGAAAGCCAACAAGATGAGACATTTATATCCTTGGTGCCAGAGAGGTAAGCAAGATAATGATAAACATCACTGTTATATGTCGCCTTAGTTAGAACTAAGATGAGACCTCATTAGGTCGACATAGAGTACATCCACGACTCTATGAAGCCTACCTAGAGACGGCTATAATTTTTTTTCAAACAAGCACTATGAGAGTGACTAGGTTGAAAAATTCAGGTTAGGCGCTTCTTTAACAACTAGACTAAGATTTGTATGGCATTCTTTTGTTCTTTTAAATGTGACAACTATTATTTTATAGGACAACGCCATAGCATACTTTCAGTCTGTATGTGCTTGAAGCCAACCAATAGTGGGAATGTTGAATGGTCCCTGCTTCAACTCTGTGTGGGCCACATGAATTTTTTTCCTATATATTTCCTTGTTGATCTGTGACTATATCATGAAGAGGATGCTCAATGTTGTTACTTTAGCATGTACCTAGGATCATGATTGATGCGGTCTCACAGGGCATGACTTGGAAAGCAGTTGAATCTAGTTGGATTGGCATGAGGGCCAGGGAAGATTATTTGATGATACACCATGTTAATGACTCATTGCTCGGGCGACTTTGTCGTATTTGTTTTTCCGATAAAGTCATGAATACATTACATAATTGGGGTTTAGCATTGCTTATTTTGAGGGGTCAAGAGTTCTATATCAGGTGTAATCGAATGGACTAGGGTAGTACAAGATGCTTCCAAGTGATGTACTGTATTAGTTTGGTGATAACTTAACATAGTACTCATCTTGTTGGCATACGCTTGTCGTGGGGTCGCACATTCCATTTCCTTTATGACGTGATGAGTGAAAGAGAATTTTTTGAGAGACGACTTGCCCTATGTGGGCGATTGGGAGATGAAAGTATTTTATAAGTCGGTATTTGGACTTAAACTCGAACCTTGATCCGCCCACATGAGGCAACTGAACTTGACCTTGTCATTGGTGATTGGTTAGGGATATGTCTCTATCTCCTAATTAGTTTAGGAGATTATGGGAGATATATCTCTATCTCCTAATCAGTTTGGGAGATCATGGAATCATGTTTATCTAAGTGGTTACAACCACCTATAAATATATATGTCTCTAAACATCTAAGAGAAACGTGCAATACATCTCTCTCATCTCTCTACACATATTATCTCTCTAAGGTTATCATCAACGGCCCTTGGATTTGTTAAATTACAAGGAGGAACTCTGGTAGCCACTCTCTCGGCTTGACAAGATTTTGGTGTGCAAGAAAGCAACGAAATTGTGATTCGGGTTTGGCATATTTGGTCTCGTAACAAGTGACGTTCCGATTATTATTATTATTTTTTTTTGTTCTTCTAAAGGTATATTGAAAACCCATTACATGTTATGTGAGATTAAATGTCATTTTATTTTCCCTATTGATAAATATCCATGTAAAAGAGACAAAGTGCATCAAATAAACCAACAGACAATACATATGGGTGTGCATGTACATGAAGACAACTACTTTGTGCAAACTCAGAGCTTATACATAAAAGAATCATATTGCCTTGAGCCGTCTTCTATCACCAATTGTCTAATCATGATGATTTTGAAAAATTTAATTAGCTTCACTCAATAATCTTTCATGGGTGTAACCAAATGTTGTTATTCTTGTATAACCACTGCTCAAATTCAACCAAGAATATGGGTAGTTTCTATGTATAATTTCATTTTTTTTTTTTTGGGGGGGGGGGGGG